GGATGTAGCCCCAATTGATTACAGCTACAATACAAGAAGCTTGCTTGGTGTTTCAATTAATATGACACTGTTGAGGCAAGCATATGCATGGGATTGCTGGAACAAAGGTACTAAGCAAAAAAAATATATCCACACAAGCAAATCTCAAAGTCATGCCACCTAGAGACATGAATTGGTCGAGCCATTTGAGGTTTAACAACATATTGTCATGATACATCATCACCTTAATTAATAAGCTTTAATCCTATTTGAGCTGCCACTCATTACCAAGCACTTGGAGAAGGGATAATTTATTAATTTATATTTGGCCAGGCAGGCACTAGAAATTTAAAGTAATCTGGCATCACTATACGCTACTAATATGCATTAGTTACATAAACCTTCTTTCCAATTGGGCTAGCCTAGCTGCCTAGCCAAGAGTCTTTTTTCCATGCCTTAGATCTTGAATAACAGCTTGGCATTAAATAATACTCTATTCACATCAATCTATTGATGTAAATAACATTTCTTCATTTCCTTAGGGGGTACCCAAGCCAGCCGGATACCCGAGCTAGCTCGCTTTGTCAAGATCTAACGTCGCTATGTAATTTAAACTAATATTCATCTTGCATTTATATGGAACTGGGCTGGCCTGTCTAGGCAAGATCTTGAGAAGTAAAAAATATTATATACTATTTATAGCAGTGATACCAATGATCTGTTTTGGCGAGGCAGCCCGCCTCAAAAGTCTCTTGTAAACATGGGATGAAATCAACTCGGGTTACCTGGGCTGGCTCGCCTAGGAGATTAGAAAGTTTCAAAGTTAAAATTTATTTTGAAATCTCTCTGAGGGATAAAACCTTCAAAACTTTATTGTTGACAAAAATTTCAGGTAGACAATACCCAGGAAAATTGTCTATTCATATTGCAAGGCTAAAATTATGTACATAATTTCAATAATAAATAAAATAAACAACTTTACCAAGGATGGTAAAGAACAGTAGATTAGTCATCCACCTATGGATGACAAGAACAGTAGATTAGTTCCTGATTATTTACAAACATGTATTATTACCTTTCGCACTTTAATATTGTGGAAACATATCTATATATTTATTTATTTATGTATATTTTCCTCAGAAGAATGATAAAAATGCGTAATACCGCGTGCAACCCCCTGCCTCCTCCGCAGGCCCTCGTTGCGTCATGGGAAGGTCATGATCTGGCGAGGGCCTGCGGAATCTTGTAAAAAAAATGGCGCCGGCGTCACGTCAGCAAGTAAATTTCTACATAATCTTGAATATAAACAGATATAAAAAAGCGGTGTGAAACTTGTAAATTGAAATGGCAACTCTTAGGACATGGAAGGAAGCATTTTTTAACGATAAGGTTTGTTGTCCACACCAACGTTGCACGAATAAAACTGCCTTCTTAAACAAAGCAGGTTTAGAACAACATTTATTCATTTTACAAGATTCCGCAGGCCCTCTCGAAATCGTGACCTTCCCATGACACAACGAGGGCCTGCGGAGGAGGCAGTGCAACACCCCCCCCCCTGCTAAGAGACTTGAACTAGTACAATAACTGTATTTAGTATAATTACATAGGTGATTATTGAAAATTCTCCACGCTGATTGGTTACCGTTGAGGTGATTATTACGCGATAATCACCTAAGCGATTTTCAAAATGGCGGCCGAAGCCGTTTTTTCAATTAAAAGACGAATAAATGTGCATTTTTTAAAATTTTTCCAAATAATCACCTATGAAATTATACTAAAACAATTATTCACCTCAGGCTCGGTGATTATCGTGAATAAAAACCTCGACTTCGTCTCGGTTTTTATTCACCGATAATCACCTCGCCTTCGGCGAATAATTGTTAAATAACATGAAGTTTCCTGAACAAAATGGCGGAAATTTTAATAAAAAGTGTTGATGTTTGATCGTAAAATACAAAAAAACTGCAGGTTTGTGCGAGTGACAACAAGTGAATTCAAACTCAGCATATAAAAATCTATAGATTCATGTAAATTTAAAGTAGTGCCCGAAGGGGGGCAACAAAAATCGTTTTCTAAGCGACTTTTGGGGCCAGGGAATACGGCCTTATATTTTTTAAACATTATTATAAAACCACATGCATTCTTCTGTATTCGCTGGATAGTGGAATATAAATTTTCCCATATACCACAAATCACAAACTACTTTTTTATATGAATGAAATCGTCGCTGCTAGCGGAAACTTTTCTCGTATTACACAGCCTACAGACTTGTAAGACAAGTTCATCCCGCTCAGCTCGCTATTTAACAATTATTGGATGAGGTTTTTGTGATATGCGGAATTATCAAGGTCGAGGTAAGCGTTATCAGCCGAGCCGAAGGCGAGGCTGATAACGCTTACCGAGACCTTGATAATTTTGCATATCGCAAAAACCGAATTCAATAATTGTTTTATTATACATTTGAAGAATAATAAACATAGTATTTTAAATAATAAAACAATTATTGAATTCGGTTTTTGCGATATGCAAAATTATCAAGGTCTCGGTAAGCGTTATATTCAATATGATTTCTGGCAAAGCTGTTCAATTAAAACGTTTCTATAAACAAGTCTCCGGAAGTCCAACAGTTAAATTAATTACAAATATAAAAGAAACATATTATCCTTAAGATGTTAACATATTAAAATATTTACTTGTTAAAGTAAACATTACAATTATGAAATGTACATTCATTTGAAAATTGAAATGTACACTCATTTGAAATGTACACTCATTCAATTTCACGCAACCTAACACAAAATTCAGTTATCTGCTAGCAGATAACTGAGTTATCTGCTAGCAGATAACTGAATTTTGTGTAGGTTGCGTGATTGCGCGATTTAACTGTTAGCTCTTAGCCAATCAAATTGCTTTTACCAACTACAATGTATAATAATAAGTGTTATTAAGCCCTGCTTTTTTTATACTTAAAAACAACTAGTAAACGTATTAAAACCGCTATTAATATTGAAAAAAATTATCAATAACATTAATTTGCCTACCTTGCTGAGAATGAAAGGCCAGTTGAAATGAAAGGACAGTTTAAGTGAAAGACTACGATAAAAAGACACAAATATAAACCAACAAAATTATGTCTGAAAATGATTCCGAATGTGCCGAATAGCAGAAGCAGTGCTTCCATTTTCAAGGAAATTTCCTTTTCTAAGGAAATTCTAGTGTCGAAAAGGAAAATCTAAGGAAGTGAAAAAATCTAAGGAAATCTAAGGATTTTTTCCGAAAACTTAAATATTCATCCAATGGCATTAGTGCACAAGAAAGTTTCACTATTTCTTGAATTTTTGAGTGAATTGTCAATTATGTTTAATTAAAAATCTGTTTTTAACTTTTTCCTCGTGTTTCCGAAATCTTCCTAAAGTTTTTGAGCGATGGGATTTAGTAACTTTTGGCGCCAAAATTAATTATATCAATGGAAAGGTGTATATTGTAAACTCATGACAAATATTTAATTTTAAACAGTATAATAGCCTGTGTTTTTTTAGCTAGCAATCATCTTTGTTAGTTGTGCTATTTTGTGCCTTTACTAGTAAAATTGATTAAATCCTTTGTATTGCTACAAAAGCCCGCGTAATGAAATTTCAAGGAATTTTCAAGGAAATAACGTATACAATCTAAGGAATTTAGAGAAATTTTGATGACAAAATGAGAAATTTTGATTTTGAAAATGGAAGCACTGAGTAGAAGAAAGAAAGACGAGGACTATACCGGTAAGGAAACTGCTCAGACGGCATGTAGTAAAACACTGACTACCGGAACACCACCTAACCCAAACCCCAACCCTAACCCCCAACCCTAACCCCCAAACCCTAACCCAAACAAAATGGTGGTGTTCCGGTGTTCCGGCGGTGTTCCGGTGGTGTTCCGGCGGTGTTCCGGTGGTGTTCCGGCGGTGTTCCGGTGGTGTTCCGGTAGTCAGTGTTTTACTACATGCCCGCTCAGACGCGGTTTTCAGTGCGCCCGACATTCAACATGACATTCGATATGGTGTGAACTCACTCATTTCAATCACTCAGAAGTAAAAATGAAAAATGTAGCCATTTCTTCTCCAATCATTTTTTAAGAAATTGCAACAACTGGGACCAAGTCTCATTGAGGGCTTTTTCCCCGCACAGTTATGCCTATAATTTTCCGTAATTTTTTCGTACATTTCTCTAAATATTAGCTACAAGCCTACAATTATTAGTTTTTAATCAGTGTCATTCAAATATATTTTAGTTTCTTTCCTTCCTATCCAACTGGGATTAGATAATTTGCCGACTACCTGACGACTGGGGGTGTTCCAACCCTGCCCCCACACACCCCTTTAGTGCTACCCCTGCCTGTTCTGACTTTTATAAGATGGAATGTCGAGAATGTGAGAAGATATGAGAAAGCAGGCAGATGCAGCTTTTTCAAAAGGACCCAGTTCGTCTGAAAATCTTGCTTCACTACTGGGGCAAGCAAAGAGCCTACTGGGGTAAATGCCCCAGTAGTTATATTGAAATTATATAGTTAAAAAATGCCCTGCTTCTCTTCCAATAAATTAGAAAAAAAGTAGCCATACAGTTCTTAAAAGGGAAAAGCCCTGGGAACGAGGTTGTAATGCACCTATCAATGTTTTCCCCCTGAGAGGGGGGTGCGGGCAACCCAGGGGAATTTTGACATTTTTAAAATTTTGTAGTCAAAATCCCCACTGTTGGGCAAGGAACGGCTGTCAAAATTCCCCAGTACATTCCTAAGATAACAAGGCAAACATATGTTTTCCAATGCGAACATACAGTCTATACTGGTTTAAACTTGGTAAAAATTGAGACACTGTGTATAAAATACCTTTTCCGATGAAACTTGGTCTTGCTTCTCTGCCATACTTGTTACCAGGCAAAACCGCGCAAACTTTCAAGATGGCGGATGTCAAAATTTCCCGACTCTGGGAGTTGATCACTGAGCTGTATAATAACTGGAGGACCTGCTCCTATCTCTTGTCAGTCAAAAAAGTGTCGCCAAAAACATGGCGGATTTTGACGCCATATGACGCCATTTCCATGGCAACTGGTCCGAAAACCTCATGGTAGTTACCACTGACCAGGCTCAATTCTGAGCCCACGGCAGTTTTCACACCCCCCTGTTTTTTTGCAAAAGATTTGGTTTTTGCAGATAAATATTTATAGTTCTCGTTGTTTTAAATCTTTTGTGTAAATTTTGAGATATATCTACTACCTTTGACCATTTGGTTAAAGATATGCAAGTCGTACGTGTTATTCTCGCCCGCAAAAGCCAAACAAAACCTCGAGAAATGTGGGAAAAGAATATTAAAGACGATACATGTACTTGAATCGGGATTTTTTAATAATATAAAAGGTAGGAGACGTCTATTTACATTAAATAGTCAATATTACTTATTCTTTATCTTATTTGACAAGAAATTGGTAAGCCTAACGATGAAATATTTCAGCTTTCTACAGTCCAAATTACTTGTTGTAAGGTGTAAAATTTCCCATCGTTTTAACAAGCTGTATTCACAAATATTTTAGAGGAGAATTTTTTCTATGTCGCGTATCATGCGGTCAAAACGTATGACGTCATCGCATGCGATCTCATTATGCAATTTAAAGATGGCAGCTTGTTAATTGCCGATTTGCCGGCTGTTTACTTCAATGAAATTTCGTTCTGTTGCTGTTCTCTATAAGGTTCGAAGGAAGCCTTGCAGAATATTTTTCTCTTCACAAGATCATTTTAAACGGAGTATATATATATATGGCTGGAGAATTGCTAACAGGAAGGTGCCGGGGAGAGAATTTTTAAGAGAGTTTTCACATATATTTCGAAGAATCGAACTACTAAGGTGACAAGGTCTGTCTACTCTGTGCAGACTGTTCTTGGCTAGGGGGTCGGTGGATAATACAAAGCAAAAGGTATGTTGTATACATGTGCTATATATCTTAATTGTTTTTTTACTAATTCTAGATTAATTATTAAAAATTACTTTTGAGCATTCGTTGGAATATATTTTTTGAATACAATTCGCCAAACAGGAAAATTTGCTTTCAATGCATGCAGTTTATAGAAGGGAAATTGTGGTTTTTGTATTATTTTTTCAGTTAATTTGTCTGTATGAAGTTGTATAAAACAATACCAAATTATAGAGATAATTTTGGAATGATATACCAAAAAGAAAACAGGTTGAAAATTGTTTTGAAAAATTGAATCAGAATTGTTGAGTTTATGTATCTGAGTGATGTATTTTTTTTAAAAGAAAAATTGAAGTTATCAAAAAATATTATTTTAGAACTGTTTTGCAGACCTGCAATGCATTTAACAATTGTGTTGTCTATATTATCTTGGAAAAAATACCAGAATAGAGAGATTTGGAGTGGTACGCCGAAAAGAAAATTTAGGTTGAAGATTGTGAATTTTTGAATTTGATTGCTGTAATATGGCATTCTGACCTCATAGTGTCATGCCTGTTTAGTTACCAAAATTTTATTTAGAACTGTTTTGCAGACCTGTAATGCATTTCACAATTGTGTTGTGTATATTATCTTGGAAAAAATACCAAAATAGAGAGATTTGGAGTGGTACGCCGAAAAGAAAATTTAGGTTGAAGATTGTGAATTTTGAATTGATTGCTGTAATATGGCATTCTGACCTCATAGTGTCATGCCTGTTTAGTTACCAAAATTTTATTTAGAACTGTTTTGCAGACCTGTAATGCATTTCACAATTGTGTTGTGTATATTATCTTGGAAAAAATACCAAAATAGAGAGATTTGGAGTGGTACGCCGAAAAGAAAATTTAGGTTGAAGATTGTGAATTTTGAATTTGATTGCTGTAATATGGCATTCTGACCTCATAGT